AAAAAAAAAAAAAAAAAAAAAAAAAAAAGGAGTAGGGGGAACACCAACCAACCGAGATCTCTCCCCAGCCCACGGGGTAGATTGGCACCACAGCTGTGGTGCGAGAGCAACACTGTACCAGTTCCAGGGGTGTGCAGGCATTGCCCATGGGGGAAATGGGCGGTGCTACAGTGCAGAGCAATGGCCAGTCACTGCACCTCCCCCTACCCCACCCCCCCCCAACCCCACATGTCTGTGTCTAATGGCCAATATTGTAGCTGCATAGCAGCCAACAACATCAGCCAAGGTCCTGCCAATGCTGGCTTGCCCTTCACCATTCGCTTTGCTCATATCTTTTCCCCAGATAGGGCATCGTCACACCATTGTCGAAATATGCAAAACGAGAATGAACTTCGTGCTAGAACATGGCCAGATGCGCCCGCCACATGTTTATGTTTTTGACATTTCGAGAGTGGTGTGGCGCAGCCCATAGTGGGGGCATTGCGGGATCGAGTTTCAGGAAAATCCCCTCCCCCCCTTCTCCACCCTCTCTGTGGCCTTGCTACCCTACAGTGCTTGGGCTCGAAGGACGAAGGCGAAGGTGGACCCTGGCGCCCTGGCGCCAGCAGTCAGTCCCAGATTTGCTCGGCCAATAAGATGACTCGCTCCTAGGTCTGGCAAATCAGGGTTTATCTGTCAATCTCCTGCAGCCATTCCACCCTCCCGGTGGCGACTCTTTCGGATAAAAAGTCCGCCACATGATCCCAAGAACCGAGCGAACGAAAAATAACGAAAACAGGGGGGGGATAAGGGAGGGGGAAAACGACAAATGGAGGAGCAGAGGGAGGAGACCGACGACGCAACGAAATTCTTCGTACTGAAAGCGACCGCTGCCAACTGGAACCGGAAGGGTTCGAGCCATGGACGTCTTGATCACCGAGTGTAGTTCAAGCTCGATGCCCTTCTTTTTTTTTTTTTTTTTTTTTTCGTTCCAATTTTAACGGATGTCCCGAGGGACGGTGCCCTTCGTTTGGTTTCGCTTTTGTCGTCCTCCTTCCCTCGCTCCTACGTGCTACAGGTATAGAAAAGCTACGCTATCGTGGCCGTAGATCTGCGTCATCGACGGTAGAAAAACAACTACTTCAAAAAAGTCTAGCAAACGTCAATTCCCATGTCCCAACGGCCCTGACCGGAGAGAGACGCCCTCCACCTTCTCTTCCCCCCCCTCTCCTTCTGCCTCTCTCTCCCTCTCTCCCTCTCTCCCTCTCTCCGTCTCTCCGTCTCTCCCTCTCTTCCTCTCCTCCTCTTCTCCTCTCCCTCTCTCCGCCTCTCTCTCCCTCCCGCCCTCTCTCCCTTTCTCCCTCTCTGCCACTCTCCCTCTGCCAACCGCTCATGCCCCAGTCTCTTCCCTCCCGACTTTCTTGGGCCCTGTCCGGTATATGACAGATCGGGAAATATTTACTAGGTGCTGTGCCGTGGGTTCAAGCGACGGAGAGTACCATCTTTGTTGTTTCGCGCGTCGGCCTCCTGTTTGTCTTCCTCATCTCCGCCATAGCCGGCCGGCGCACTCCCGCTTCGTCGGGGTTGCCTGAGAGGCAGGAGAGAGAGTAGAGTGAGAGGGAGTCAGACTCAGCAAAGCGAGGAGGAGAGATGGCGTCCTTGGCAGCAGCCGCCTCAGCATCTTGTGCTACTGCAGCTAGCAGCAGCTTCGCCGGCCAGAAGCTCAAGGTCGCCAGCCAGAAAGCTGCCCGCTCCGCTCCCGCTCAGGTCGGCGTTCGCGCTAAGTACGGCGATGAGAGCGTCTACTTCGACCTCCAGGATATCGAGAATACCACCGGCTCTTGGGACATGTACGGCACCGATAACAAGGCCAGATATAACGGTCTGCAGAACAAGTTCTTCGAGACATTCGCCGCACCTCTCACGAAACGAGGCTTGATCTTCAAGGGCTTGCTCCTTGGCGGAGGAGCCGTCCTCGTCCAGAACCTTGGTAGTGCCCCAGGTGATGTCTTGCCCATCCAGAAGGGCCCGCAGCAGCCACCCGCCCCGGGGCCAAATGGCAAGATCTAAATCTCTCTCTTTGTAGCATTCTTATCTATCCCTCTCCACCCTCTCCTCTCCATCACCACATCCGAAGCTTCCTCCCAACCGCTATCCTCTCTCCTGCCGATACCTTCACTCCCTCCCTTTGCTTCCCCCAATTTCAATCTCGTTTTCACCCATCTTCTCGCTGCTTCTCTCTCTCCCATTTCTTCTCCTCCGCTGTTGTCTCTTTGTTGAGGAGCAGAGACTCGTTGGTACACACGCTCGCAGAGTCTGACGTGGAAGCCGTCGTCGGTCGACAGCGGGCTAGCGTTGGAAGATGCACAGGCCTGGACAGGTCTCTTCAATGCGGTGGAGGAGCCAGACTGGAGAGCGAGAGGGAGGGGAGGGAACGAGCAGAAGGAGAGAGAAAGAAAGGGGAGAGAGGAAGAGGGAGTGGAAGAGAGAGACAGAGATAAAGAGAGAGAGAGCATTGTAGGTTCGGGGGACTGCTTGGAGATGCCGTCTGTCTTGCGTTGGGATGTGGATAGAGTTCTGTCTATACTAGGCAGAGTAAACGTCGTCCTTCCGGTGATACATATCGTATTATTGTTTGAAGGATGGCGCAATACTTTCCCCAAAAGGAAAGTCTCAGCTTATGTATGATTTGCTCGGAGGCCAAGCTGGGTTCTTTCGGGGTTGCTGAGGGAGAGGCCGGGAGGAGGATGGGCGATACAGTCATCCAACGGTAACAATTTGTTGTGGATAAGACGGACGGGATGACGTGGCATTTTCTTCAAGGGGGTCTATCAACAGAATAGAACCCTACTTTCCTCCACCCCTTTCAACAGCGATGAGTAACGTTAGCAGGGGCCTTTTGAGCCCTCTGTGTTCAGAGGGCTCTTCATAACGAGCGGGAAGGTTTATGAGACGCATTATCGACTGGCTGTCCTTTGCCGCCTCCTCTGCGTCTTTCCTACCTCTTCTCCCTCCTCTCCCTCTTCATAATTAGCACGGTGAAGATGATACTCGTACGGGTTTGGGTACCGTCGTCTGTATTTCGAAGCAAGGCCTCCCTCTGGCTTTCTTCTCTCTCTGTGCCCCTGGATGTATGTCCTTTCGTGTAATTTAGACAATCTGACAATTTACGAACTGACAATTTACGAAGCCTTGAGTTGGTTTTCTTTTCTGTTTATAAAGTGGGTGTTTTGTTTATAAAACCGAACAGAACAAGGGTAAACAAATGGATGGCAGAACTGGACTCCGCTCGGCTCCTTTTTCCTTGAGCCTTTGTATATGCGTTCCAGAACGTAAGCATGTAAATTCTGTACGTACTGTATGTATGTATGTATGTATGTATGTATGTATGTATGTATGTATGTATGTATGTATGTGTGTATGTGTGTACGTATGTATCGATGTATGTATGTCTGTATGAACGTATGTATGCATGAATGTATTTACGTATGCATGGCTGTACGTATGCATGGGTCTTATGTATGTATGTATGTATGTATTTATGTATGTATGTATGCATGTATGTATCGATGTATGTATGTCGTATGAATGTATGTATGCATGAATGTATTTACGTATGCATGNTATGTATGTATTTATGTATGTATGTATGCATGTATGTATCGATGTATGTATGTCGTATGAATGTATGTATGCATGAATGTATTTACGTATGCATGCATCGGTATGCGTCTCATGGGTCTTATGTATATATGTATGTATGTATGTATGTATGTATGTATGCATGTATGTATGTATGTATGTATGCATGTATGTACGTACGTATGTAATTACGTATGCATGCATCAATGAATTCATGTATGCATGCAAAGGTGTATGTATGTATGTATGCATGTACGTACATACGTATGTAAGTACGAATGCATGCATCAACGTATCGATGTATGCATGCAAAGGTGTATGAGTTTATGTATGTATGTATCTTTGTATGTATGTATGTATGTGCACGCATCTGTGTTTGTGTGTATGCATAACGTGTGCGCTTATGCATGTGATTGTACATTTATGCTTGTACATATGTACGTATGTATGTGCGCCCGAATTTGTATCTGTGCTCTGCTTTCGAATAGCCGTCCCTTGTGTTGCATCCGCGCATGCATGCGCGTGTTTTTTTTTTTTTTGTGTGTGTGTCCGTTGATGCGAAAGTACCACAGGTACCCTCGGGCATTCGGCCATACATTGCGAGGCATTGTGTCGAGGGAGAGCGCGCGCGCGCGCGTGCGTGTGTGTGTGTGTCAGAAAGAGAGAGAGGAGGGGGGTGCGCGCGCGTGCGTGTGTGTGTGTGAGAGAGAGAGAGAGAGGGGGGGCCGCGCACGCGCGCGTGCGTGTGTATGTGTGTGTCAGAGAGAGAGAGAGAGAGGGGGGGAGAGAGAGAAAGAGAGAGAGAGAGAGAGAGAGAGAGAGAGAGNGAGAGAGAGAGAGAGAGAGAGAGAGAGAGAGAGAGAGAGAGAGAGAGAGAGAATCGCAGTGAATGAATGTGGGCCAAAATGCGATCAGTTATATGATGTTTGGTTCTCGTTTAGCTTTCAGATTCCCCTTCACCTTGTGTACATCCGCATAGCAACTTCTTCTCAGGGCCCCCATGTAGATAGTGCGGGCGTTAATATCGGATAACACTATGTCCACGTGTTTCATAGAAGTGGGTATCCGAGGAAGATAGTGCTCTTTCCTGTTTTTTTTCCTTTTTTCTTTTTTGTTGTGTGTGTGCTTCTATGTTTTGTTGAATCGAAAGTTTCGAAATTTAATTGGAATTCCAGTAATGTATACGTATTCTTTTTTTTTTTTTTTCCAAACTTAAATGTGATTTACATTTTTCTTTGCTGTTGGATAATAGGGGCAATTCCAAAACTTGCAGGGGTCCCCTGTATAGCCTTAGGAGTAGTGGTAGGTAGGTAGTGAAAGAAGGGTATGTTCCATGACATGGCAGAACACCAGTTAAATAATATGTGAGGTGAGAGAAAAATATATGTATGTCCCCCAATGAGGAGAAGGCATCTTTTTAAGAGGGGGGGTGGGGTTGAGGGGGGCGGGGTTTGAGGGGGGGGGGGGGTTGAAACTTAATTCCCCCCAGCTAAGTTATGTGGTTGCATCCCTGAATTCCACCCACGAGATGCTGAGTTCAAGGCCCTCAGACGCTCTCTGGCCAGAACAACGTTGGTCTCAAGTTATTCTTGTCGAGGATAGCCCGTTGGAGGGGGAACATACCTGAGAATGGGTTTCTGGGCCCTTTATTTAAATAAAATTAAAAAAAAAAAAAAAAAATGTTGGGCCTCTCCAGGCAAATCCTATCCTACGCTTTGACAGTTTGGATTTCTCTGTGCCAGGCAAATGAGTCGTGGGAAAAGAGGTTGGGAATAACTGGTGGTCAGGACTATCTGCAAAATGAGTCGTGGGAAAAGAGGGTGGGAATAACTGGTGGTCAAGACTATCGTCGGAAACCCAATAGAACCCTCCAAATGGAATGGACATAAGAAAAAGGGGTAGGGAGCTTTCATGCCAGGGTGACTTACGTCACCTGAAGGACACACTGCGTTATTGGCCACTCACATGGGACTCGTGCCGAGGCGACTGACATCACCGATAGGACAGTGTGTGAAGTTCTTTACTGGCCACTCAAATGGGACATTGATTTGTCGCTTCGCAATGAAGGAAACATTTATGGTGTTCATGTAGTTCATGCAGTCCATACTTGCACACAAAGCTGCACAAACAAACAACACACAGTTGGCTGACACAGCCTGACAGTGAAGAAGGGGCAATGCAAAGTGATGAGCGCTGCTGATGCAGAGTTTGGTCATCAGCCAGGCACTGCAGGCAGCCTTTTTTTTTTTTTTTTATCCATTTTTCAGAAAGCCCAGGTTGTTGTAGAGGCTGGATTACAGACATATGCCTTCGGCACTTGGCCATGCGGTAGAGGCACCATAATCCTATGGGACTCCCTCCCAACCTACCTCTTTCGTAATTTCTCCCAGCGTACTCCTACTCCCACTATCCTACCTCAGTGTTAGCCTTTTTTTTCAGTTCCGTACTTGTCGAACTTGACCCAAAGGTGAATCCTTTGGGTGGCCGGGGCTTGCCCAGGCTGGGCGCTGCGTCAGGCAGGCGATGAGACATCCAGAACGGGGATTGTCCGAACGCCGGGCAACCGGGATGGCCTGGACCATAGATAGATGTCCAGACAGGAATATCCGGCTGGACGACTGTGGCTGGATGGCCTGGCAGTGTGGGTTTAAACAACCAGTACCGTTCCCTGCTATTTTTTCAGAGTCGCGGCAGATTAACGACCACGACTCTGGTGAAGTACTGGGGTGCCATTTAACTGGATATCCACCCAGGCAAAACAGGTCCAATGTGAGGCCCGAACCCGTTTTGCCTGGATGGATATCCAGCGAAACTCTGCCCCCGTACTCCCCGGAAGATGCCGCCGTCAATGCGCCGCGACATTGTTTTCCAAGCTGGGAAAGGTACTGGTGGTTTATGAACGGAACCCCAAAAATCAAGCTTATGGTGTGGAAGTACACAATTCAACAAACAATTGAGATAACTCTGGATAATCAGAATTACTCTAAAAACTCTGAATTACATGGGGCCAGTAACCTGGCCATGTTTGTCAATGCCGCAGCCCTTCAAAGGGGGGAAAAAAAACAGCCCGCCCACTCCTCACCGCCCCAACTTCGAAAATGTATCGCTGATCCTTTAGAGAAGCCAGCAATCGCCAGTATTGCGCATCCACTTGTTGGCAGGGTTGGCCACTCCTTGATTTTTCAATGCATATCAACCTGACCGTAGTGACTGAAACCAGCAATTGTTTCCAAGCTGGGCGGTAAACGCTCAGTAAGGGTCAGGGGCTGGGGTTGCTTCTGCAGGCCGTTGATGAATTTCATCAACAGACTGCAAAAGTTAATGGCGCGTTTACAGCAGCATTGGAACAAAATCGCTGGGAAAAGTACTGGTGGTTGATTGGTACACTACTACACGCATGTAACTGCTGATGAGTTCAAACCCTGAAGGAATCAGATGGGTAGAATAATGTTAGGGGCTACCCCTTTCATAAGAGTCACACTTGCACAGATTAAGAGATGCTGTCTGTAGATGATGAAGATAGATGGCCTGTATCTTTTAGTCTGTCCAAGTGAGACCTCAATGAGGAAGGATTGGACTACCTGGGATGTGGTCCCCCTGGCCAGCATGGTGGACATTGTCTGCAACAGGGAATGACAAGCATAAGAAAGTACGGAACAACATAGGTGAACAGAGTAAAAAAAAGGAAAAGGAAGTGGCACAGGCCATCCTTTGATGGGAAATGAAGGGGGCTGCTTTTCTTTTTTTTTTGTGGTCCGATGGACCACGGATCAGATATTAAACTGATCAGAACAGATACTACACTTGATCTTAGCCAAAAGGCCGAGAAAGGTATAGAAGGGGGCTGCTTTTTATTTTCTTTCTCAACTTGTTTTGTCCAAGAGTGATATACATAAGCTAACATGGATCCCAATGATAGGGGCTATGAGGACGTGGACGGTTGTGTGTAAGTTCCTTAGACTCCAAGGACCAGGTCCAATTGGTGCTATCATTATGTGTGGAAAGCATAAACTTGGCCCTTTTTTTTTTTTTTTTTCCCCTTAAACACGTCTCCTCGCTGGAGGAGGTGATATGAGCATCCCCCTCTAGCAAGCTTCCTGGTTGCTCCAATCTATTAGTGGGGAGCAGCACCTGTGGGAAAACGGGTCCAGCGTCCCATCATACATCAGACAGGCCTGCCAGCATTGATTACCCTGCAGGGGATTGACTGAGCAGGCAATGCTGGAAAACGGGTCCAGCGTCCCATCATACATCAGAAGGGCCTGCCTTAGCAGGTAATGAGGTAGAAGGTATGTGGGGCTTCACTGGGGACAACGTTGCAGAGTTACCTCTTCAGCCCTGATCAGGCCGCCAGATTGAGCACATCTCCTAGTGAGACTGCAGTGTCTACGGCCAGGTTCACGCTTTCCAGGCATGAACATATCAGCAGTGAGGCATGACCCTTACTATGAGTGAGTCAGATCTGGAATGATAAGGGTCCCAGTATTGCGCCTGAGCTTTTGGTGAGGTGCTCCGGTGACGCCCAACCTCACGCCGAGTGCGGAAGTTGCAAAAAGGGGGGGTGCCAAGGATTTTAGGAAAGTGGGACGGAGTCCCAGGTCGGAACTGGGATCTCCTGTGTCAAGGTTCCAAGGACAGAACTTCAAAGGGGTTCGGACGAGAGGGAGCTTAATTCGTGACTTCCATGGCCGGGCACTCAGGGTGGCCGGTTTTGGCACCTAGGACTGGTCCGCATGCCGTGTACGTGTACGGGAGGAACACAATGGGTATCTCGCTGCCCCACTCACGGCGCCTACGGGATTCATAGATCTCAGGGTCTGACATGGACAGTCTCAGTCAAAGGCTGTGTTCTTGAGGCTCAGCCTCAGTACGAGTCCGCCAGACGAAGCCCGACGTTCGGTAGAGGTAGTCGTGATCTGTTAATCGAAAGGGGACACCGAATTCCATGCTACGAATTCACATTAATGCTGCCGTTCCTATCCATGCAGAAGTATACGAATAGTGCAGTCCGGACGTGGGCGACTTATGCGAGCGCTCGTATACGTGACGGGCCGTTTTACTGGCTGACTGTAACATATACACGTGGCACGAGATCCGTTCAGAAAGCAACTTGAGGCAACCAACTTCACTATTTCCCTTCAATTCCAGCGGACTAAGGTTATGCATGCATCCACGTTTCCCAATCATTCAATCTTCCGACATAAACAGGAATTATACATACAAAATTGAGACGATTAAGCTGCAATCATCACACATGACATCATCCATAAAAGGAAAGAAATATGAGAGAAACTCCAAAGAAAGGAGGGATCCACACAATCGTACAAAAATCTGAAATCACGAAAGGCAAAAATGGCAAAAGCCGAAACCAAAATTTATAGAATACAAGGAGAGAACTCCCTACACACCCCAGCGCCCCCCGCGCTCTCACTGCTTCACCATCCTCCTCCTTGCCCCGATGCAGGCAGTTTGTCGCCTCGCACCTACCAACAACCCAGAGCTGTCATCCCGCTTACCCCGAGTACACACGCCGGGTTCGCTCGTGCTCCACAGTCCGTCGCAGCCACAGTCAACCCCGCGCACTCGCCACCAGCTCGTCGGATCGCCCAACTCCAAACTCGCCTCTTTGCATACTCGCACTCGTTAGCCGATCCTCCCGACCATGCTAACTCCCTCGAGTTTAGATTAGAGAGCGATTTAGTCGCGCTTGCAAAATTTATAGCAATTAGCATTTGCGCGAGATAACCGGGATTATGCTAAGAAAGGGGGTGCCTACGGTCGGCATGCCTGGGCTGCGGCGTGGGGGACGTAGCCACTCTCCACTCATCGATCCAATCATGTACCGCTCTGACCAATGAGATGAAGGGGAAGGGGCCGCATGTTTCGGCGCGAAGAGAAGTTGAGAGGG